CTTCATTTCTAAGCTAATAGAAAATTGAAGGTTTAAGCCACATCAAGTAAGAACTATGATCCATAAGGTCTTAGTAGTAAATAATAAAATTGAATTTGAAAAGGTTAAGCATTGCAATGACTTCATTTCTAAGTTAACAAAAAATTAGAGGATTAAGGCACATTAGAGGGAACAATTATTACGTCCTCCAACCGGACGTAGAGAAACGTCCGGTCGGAGGCAAATTCCCGTCAAATACCGAGTTGTACCGAGTAAACACCGAGCAATATCAAATAATAACGAGGAATAACATCATGTGAAGACTCAATACCGAGTTTTTTCGAGCTATCTTGAGCAATACCGAGTTATACAAAAGTTGTACCGAGTTTTTCCTAGAAAAAACTCGGTACAACTCGGTATTTCTCGATATAGCTCGGTATAACTCGGTATAGGTCTTCAAAGAGCGGTATTCATCGTTATTATCAAATAATACCTAGTTGTACCGAGAAAATACCGAGTTTTTTGGCGAAAATTTAGCTCAAACCGGACGTTCCTCTACGTCCTTGCACCGAATGTAATAAAAGTTCCATTAGAGGGGTGGTGCGAAACTTATTCTACTAAATATTTTCTTTCTTTTATGAAATTCTTTTCAACTAAAATACAAAACTTTTAAGGCACATATGGTTAATTAAATTGATCCAACAAATGTAATAATAATATTAGGTAATTAAGTTGAATGATTAGTTAAACTAGTAAGTAATTTAAACTATAGATGCAATTTTCTTGGGGCTTAGTGGAGCCTATAATGGCTTATCGAGCGGTAAGCAAAATGTTATGCCAATTTATGATGATACACTAAGGCTCACAATGATCCACTAATTTAGTGGAGGCATATTAACTACATATATAAGATTTTTTATTTATTGAAGTGAATGATAATTTAACGTCAACTTTATATTTAATGTAATTTAAAACAAGGCCTATCATTTGAAAATACCTTAAAATTATTTTTACAAATATAATTAAAATAAATATTTAATCAGAATTATATTGTTGCATTTTAATTTGCATATTTATCATTTATAAAATATTTTAAGGATTAATACTTAGGTGAAAAAGAATTAGCTTTGATGAATTCATTATTTGTAGAATATTCTCTTTCTTGACATTTGGATTCAATAAATAAAAAAATTATTTGGAGGATGTTTAGTTGATTGAAAAAGGAGTACAATGTATTTGAAACACGTTAGAATTGGTTTGATGAGTAAAATAAATTTAGGTGGTTACTTTTTTATTTATTTGATTTGAAATAAAATGAATACAGAGTAAGTCCAAAAATGATGGTAGTCGATGACATGTGGTGGCAGACGGTGTGATGACATGTGGTGACAACCAGCGATGGGAGGAGGTTAACGGTGGCGACAATGACAACAATTTTATAGTATCTTTAGAAATCACATAAATCAAACAAATTCTAAATATATCAAATTGACACTAAATGATGCATTTCAAATACATCGAATCTATACACCGCAATTATTTTACTTCAAATCAAATACTAATATCCTCAAACCCCCTGCATTTAAAATACTTTATAACTATTTTACTTCAAACCAAGCACCCTTAGAAGGAACTTTTATTACGTCCTCTGACCGGACGTAGCTCTACGTTCGGTCAGAGGATTTTTACTCTGTTTTTGCTCGGTATTGCTAGGTATTCTTTGGTAATAACGAGGAATACCGCTCTGTGAAGATCAATACCAAGCAATACTGAGTAATCCCAAAAAATACCGAGTTTTTTTTTAAAAAAAACTCGGTATTTTTTTGGATTACTCGTTATTGCTCGATATTTTGTCTTCATATAATGATATTTCTCGTTATTGTTGGTATTACTCGGTATTTACTCGATTTTTCTAGTTTTGTGCCTGCGATCTTAGTGCCGGCCGAACGTAGCTCTACGTACGTTCCCTTAGAAGACCTTAATTGCTATAACTTGTAATGTCCATTTTTGTCGATGAGTACTAATCCTTAAATTTATTATCATGTGCCCTAATTGAATGGAGAGAAATTCTTCATGCTCAAATACAACTTTGAACCAACTTAGAAGTACAATTTCAGTCGCTAATCTAATTTAGGAGATGCTCCATTGTAATTACTTAGAATTCAAAAGAATTTTAAATGCAGTTTAAGGTTTAATTTGAGACGATTTTTTACTACTTTTTTAAAAAAATTTCTAAATATAAAATTTTTATTCTGAAAAATTATTTAAAAAAATAATAAAAAAACTGTACAAAACAAAGTCTAAATAAATGCAATATATATATATATATATACATATGAAATATATTTTTTTAACTGGTTTAATCATTAAAATTAATCTAAAAAAAAAAAAATCTAGGGCGTGAGATGGTCGCGAGCGACCACGCACGACACCGGAGCTCGCTGGTCTCTGACATCGACGGGCTCGGCGGCATTTGAGGTATCGCGCAGGGAGTTCACTGAAGAAAGACATCGACGGGATCAATGGTGACACTGCTCGGGGATGGCATCGACGGGAGTTTGCTGGTGATGCGGGAAAGGAGGGAATGCAACGGGAGCTCGCCGGGGAAATGCATTGAGGGTTTCGATGGCGACTTGGGCGGAGGTCGTCGGAGGAATTTGAAAGAGAAGAAAGAAGTCGTGGAGCTCACCGGCAGGTAGCAATGTCGCGGTTTATTCCAAAATCAGCCGATTCGGTCGAGCCCACTATGATTATCATCAAATTGCATGGTAGATAAGAACAATTATTAGGTCCGGTGACCGTACGTAGCTCTACGTTCGGTCACCACTGAGATCACGCCACGTGCTCTAACTGGGAATGCTATGTTTACGTATTGCTCGGTATTTGCTTGGTATTGCTAGGTATTGCTTAGCAATAACGAGAAATACCGCTTTGTGAAGGTCAATACCGAGTAATACCTAGCAATACCGAGCAATACCGAGTTTTTCTAGAAAACTCTGTATTACTCGGTATTTGTCTTCACATAATGATATTTCTCGTTATTGCCGAACAAAATCGACAAATACCTAGCAATACCGAGCAATACTTAGCAATACCGGGTTGTCATGGATTTAAAAAACGCACGTGCAACATACCCACTATTCGCCGGGTCGGGTCCGCTGTTTTGTGCCTGCTATGTGGCGTGATCTCAGTGATGACCGAACGTAGCTCTATGTCCGTTCACCGGACCAAATAAAAGTTTGGTAGATAAGGATAGGCTACCAGCATTCCAAACTCAAGGATTGTTTTATTTTCTTAAAAGGAAAAAAAAAACTTGTTCACATGCAGCCATAACTAATCTAATCACTTTTACATGATTTACATTCTATTGTCATTGGAGGCCACAGTGGCATCAATAAACACTTAAGATTTATTTGAGGCAATTGTTTCATTATTATGATTTTCAAACTACAATCATAATTTCTTCTATATTTGTTTGAAATATCTTTCTTATTATTTTCTAAAACAATTTTTTAATTAAAAAAAATTAATTCAAAAAATTTTTGTGCTAAGAAACTGCTTTAAAAAATAATAATAAAATTGTCCCAAATGAAATCTTAATTACTACTTTCTTACTATTTTTTTTTACTGCTGTTTAAAATTATACGTTGAAAAACTATTTTTTTGCAATCTAAGTGACTAATTTATTTTTTCCACTGCAATTTTAAGCATCAAACATAAGAAATTATTCCGTGCGAGGCCGGACATAAAATGCTGTTAGAAGACCAATCAAAATGCACCACATCACTAGCACCGAGCCATAGTATCAAGCGAAGAGACGACGTGTCACATTCTGGCTGATATCCAAATAACGATCAACATTCGCACAAAATAATTAATCCAAACCCTTAGTTGTATATACCAATTACTTTTGGCTAAAAACTTGGACTATTCTTCAATTTACAAATTCAAATGTTATGTTATCTCCACCGAGGTTGTTGAAACCACTACCACTTCCTTCCCTATGAATCATTTGGGAAGATGTTTCCATGAACATTACTGCTCGAGCTATAAAATAATCATTGCTATGATTGTAGATCTCAATATGTTTTAATTTTCTATCTTAACAAATCATTTTAATGCTTTCAAACTTGCTACTATTTGCATTACAACCATTTATAAGCTTTTATGGCATTTCTCATTCTATTTGTTTGGACCGAGATCAAATCCTAAAAGAGTAAATTTTAAAATTAATTATTTTTATTGCATGGCAATGAACTATGCACAAACACAACTTTTGAAGTAAAATGATAAAAAATACTCAATATAAAAAGATGAAATGTAAATTTTAAACACTTAAAAATTTTGTAGTTGAAATCCTGAATTCTAATATTTTAATTATATTTTGTATTAATATTTTACGAACTAGCTCGTGAATTAACTAGACAAGTAGAAGTTGGCTTAAATTTGACTCTCTAGTCCATTGAACTCGGCTCACAAGTCATTTATCAAATCAAGCTCAAGCCAATTTATAAGTCAACTTGACTCATTTATATCCTTATAACCATTAAAACTTGTACATCCTAATTTTAAATAGAAACCATATTTTACGACAATTCTCCTATTACTCTTAAATTCTTTAGTTTCTTGGGGATGCCACGTATACCCCTAATTCAGCAAGAAAACAATATTGCATAAGTAGCCGGTTTAACAAATAATGAAATGATTCTCATAACTCTGTTTTCTCTCTTCAATTTCCTGTGATAGGTTCACCGAATCTATATCTCATTATGGATGAATAGCAATGTGACAATTGAATAAAAATTTGATAGATTATTTTTTTCTAATGCTTTGTTTGGGACAACTTTTTAAAGCAATTTTTAAACAAAAAAACTAATTTAAGAAGCAGTAAGAAAGCTGTCCCAAACGATACCTAAGACTTCATTTGGAACAACTTTACATCATTATTTTTTTCCTATTTTTAATAGATTTTTGTACAGCTTTACAAAACAATAAAAAAGCCACCCCAAATCAAACCAAAATTAAATGATTAAAGAGCATTATCAAAGTAGAAATAAGTTTATTTGTACATCAATCATAAACAATAATATAACATTATGGATGAATAACAAGCTAAACGAATGGCTAAAATCTATTTCAAGAGGTTATTATAATGCTGAAGAGTGAAGACCCAAACACCTTTATATTACAAGCAGTTTAGTAGTGTGATTTCAAATATAGGTAAGAGATGATGAGGAAAGGCAGGCACAATAGGGAAATTTTATGAAATATAAGGGAGAATACAGAAAAAAATAGCTTATCTGTAACTTACTTTCCGCTGTGTTTTCCAAGATGATACGACCGTTGGTGATTTTGAAAGCTTAATGAATACGATTGGTTGAGAAAGAAGGAAAACTGTGTAGTTGTAAATAGAATTCTGCTGTGTGTAAAGATTATGCTTCCGCCTTTATTTACAGGAACCTGAGAAGAAATCGGTCAGCCAAATATACGGGCTGGGAAGGGTAATGCAGGGGATAATGATCGATATAGGTATCCTTACGCGACCTTACCGAGTACAGAAATCAAGCTGCTTCTTTTTCATTTCTCTTTGAATAAGCGGCATTTATTTGTTGTTGCAGCTACAGAAGGTGGAAAAAGAATGTCAAAACTAGTTGAATATTAAGCTGGATGATGATGCAGTTGCAGACATGAAATGGTGAAGGATTCTCAAAGCAGAACCAAAGAGCTTATGTTCATGACAATGGTAGCTAAAAGGTTGAATTGTTCCTTCTTTTATATTTCCAAATCTTAAAAAAAAAATAACACTTGTATGGTAATGCCTCAAGCGGGAGATGCAGTTGAAAATAAATCAAAATGTATAAATTTAATTAGTGAGAAAAAAAAACCATGTTGCAAGCTGATAAATTAAATTACTAATTCAATGAACTTTAAATATTCACATTATCATTCAATCAAATGATAAATTCTTTTCACAATTTGTAGGTGTTTCTTTTTTCATAGGGCTTACTTGGTTGCTTAAAGTTTGAAAATATAACGTTAGAAATAATGAATTTTTTAGATTCTATCGTATACTTGGGAGCAGTTAAAATTCAAATTTCAAGACCTACAAACTTCCTCAAATGTGAATATTACAATTTTTTTCTCACTCAGAGTGAAAATGAAATTATGATTATCTAAAATAAGTTTTTGATCCATAAGAAACTAGATGAGCCCTTGTAAGAATTAGAGCTACGAGGATCCGCGCATACACTTCTAGATAAACTGTAATTCCTAAATCCACCTTATCTGAACCTCTTACTCATGAGCTTGCATTCCCTCAATTAGGGACTGCAAAGCAATAATACAACTATCACACTCCTTGCCCAAAATCACTAAACTTTATCAGATCTACACCATATTTTCCAACTTACGATCATTTTGTTGTTTGTAGATGAAAGATGTGTTTTAGAATGAGATGATCTTCTTTCAACTCATTTAAGTATGAAATTACAAACCTTAGGTGGTTTGTCGAGTTTAAAAACCATGAATAATTTCTAACTAACGTTAATTAAATCAAGAAAACTTATCATTTTTTTAAAACATATTTTCTAATTCTAAATAAATAGATGAATCATTGGGCCAGTAGCATAGTAGTCATTTCCCAACCCTACCTTATTAAAAAGCATTTTTACTCCAACATGGTGCCAATTTTCACCAGTTTAAAAATAGGATAAAAAATGGCTGAGATTATTTCTCAATATAAAGTTCGAGGCATTGTGTTAGTGTAAGAGATAACCATAAGGTTGACCACGTGCTGTGATTAACTCTCTCTTTAAGAGGTATGAAAGGAGCCTAAGATATACTCATCCTGATTAACACAACATTTGCATGGTGACATTTCAAGCGACATTATATTGAATATGTTTTTAGAAACAAATAGGGCATGCATTTAAAAATGAATCAAAATGTCTAAATTTAATTATTGAGAAGATAAAACATGTTGCAATCAAATAAATCAATATACTAATAATGCAATGAACTTCAAGTATTCAAACTGTCATTCAATCAAATGATGAATTCTATTTACAATTTGTACTAAGCCACTTTTGCCTACACCCGTTTATTGCTTGTGAGCCCTACATACTTAAAGCCCAATCATATTTAACTATAATTGCATACATCCCACAATACATGATTGTCGTTCAACAAAATCATAAATTCTTTATATAATTTGCATTAAGCCGCTCCCGCCACCACCAGCTCCTTGCTAACGAGCCCTAGTCACACACCACTTCAACCTATTTCCACCCATATACCCTACTAGCTACACGCCTGAGCCCACTCATTTTTGACGGCAATTGCACACATCTCACCCGAAACATAAGATTTTCATTCAATCAAATGATAAAGTATTTTCAAATTTGCGCTAGGATGTTCTTGCCTGCGCTCGCTCCTTGTGAGCCTTAGTCATACACCACTCCAACCTGTTCTCACCCATAAATCCTAGTTGCATGCCTGACGTCCACCTATGTTTGATTATTATTTCATACGCCCACTTGAACTTATGATTGTCGTTTAGTCAAATGATAAATTCCTTTCATAAATGGTAGAGCCCAGTCATGTTCGACTGTAATTACACATGCCCCACCCCAACATACTGATAGCCCGGCACCTGGCCAAGTTGGACCGATCCAACCTGGACCGGTCCAGGTCTATAGCCGGCGGAAGCCAGGCAAGCACAGGGAGGGGGCGGAAGAGCTGGGGAGGCCCACTTGGAGTTAATTCAAATTTTGGGAGGGAGAATTTGAATTAGAAGGGTAATTAGGTCTTTTGTAATCCTCCTTTCATGATTAATTAGGGAGATGAGAGGGGAATTAGGGTTATCTTGAATTTGAATTGGATTTGAGATCTAGGGTTTGTGTTCTTGGGCTCTTGGCTACAGCTAGAGATTTGGAGAGTTTTTCCTTCCTCTCGAATTGAAGGAAAATTGTATCTTGCTTGTTGTTTGCATCTACTAGTGGAATACAAGTGTTTGCAATTGTTTTCCTACGTTTTCTCTCAGTTTTTCTTCAGTTTTGTGCTGTTTTTCACTGTTTCCCTGCTCCGGACAGCAGTTTGCTTGGAGAGTTGTTGCAAGAAGTGAATAGGAAATACTTGATTTCAAGTATTTCCTATCAAATTGGTTTCAGAGCATCGATTTGGGGACTTTTGGCGGCTGAAATCAGATTTTTCAGCGAACTTTTGGGCTTACGGAAGTGATTTTTTTTGTGATCCGTTGGGAAGAGCGATGGCCGGAAAGAAGGTAGACGTCTTGGAAGGCAAAGTTGGTCAATTGAAAACCGATTTTGAGGCAAGATTTTTTGATTTTCAAAATCAAATCACCACCAACAATGAAAGGTTCGAGGGAAAGTTCACGGCAATGGAAGAAATGATGAAGAAATTACTTGAGATGAAGACTAATCCGACGACGTCGGAAGCAAGAGGGACTACCGGAGACCATGGCGTAGGAGTGAATCCAAACCCGCTTAGGGGGAGGAGGAATCCGGAAGTAGAGGTCCTTGAGGGAGATGACGACATGCCGCCTCTAGAGCCATTTTCTAGAGAGGAGATGAGCATGGGAAACGATCGAAGAGGTGCTGATTTTGGCGGAAGAAGAGAGGAATTTCAGCGTCGATGTGCTGAATTTCAGTGTCGAGGTGCTGAATTTGAAGGTAGGAGAGGGGAATATGACGAAAGTGCAGATTTTGGCGGAAGAAGAGAGGAATTTCAGCGTTGAGGTGTTGAATTTGAAGGTAGGAGAGGGGAATATGACGAAAGTGCAGATTTTGGCGGAAGAAGAGAGGAATTTCAGCGTCGAGGTGCTGGTTTTGAAAGGGGAAGTGGGGAATATGACGACGAATTCGAATACCATCGCCGTAGGGATGACCGGGACACTTGGGGAGCACCTCCTCTTCGAGGAATGGGGGGTTATGGAGGGTACCGGGGTAACGGAGGGGATTCGAAGGTGAGGAAGTTGAAGATGCCTATCTTTGAGGGCGAAGATGGCCATGGTTGGATCTATAAGGTGGAGCGTTACTTCGCTGTCAACGGGTTGACAGATGATGAGAAGCTGACGGCGGCAGGATTTTGTCTGGAAGGGAAAGCGTTGGCATGGTATCAGTGGCAAGATAGGAGGGAGCCTATTCGGAGCTGGAGAGAGTTCAAGGATTGTTTATTAGAACGTTTCCGAGCCGAGGGGGGAGGAGACTTCTATGAGCAATTCTTCGCTTTGACGCAGGAGGGGACTATGGCCGATTACCAGGACAGATTTGAGTACCTGGCAAGCAGATTGGATCACATTTCTTAGTTGGCCCTAGAAGGGAACTTCATGAAGGGGCTTAAACCTGAGATCCGAACAGCAGTCAGAGTGCTAGAGCCAAGGAACTTAGGCAAGGCTATGGAGCTGGCACAATTGGTGGAAGATCAGAAGAGATCAAAAAGAGGAGCTCGAGGCTATTACTCAGGGGGATCGAACAGGATGACTACTGCTGTATTACCCTCCAAAGGGGTAGTCCCAGGAAACCAGAGGGAGGTGCACAAGGAGCGATCTGGGGGAGGGGGAGTTGGGGGACAGTTCTGTGGGCTCCGAAAATTCGGCCCCGGCCTCCCCTCGCTCTTCTTATTTTATATTATATTATTTTTTTTTTCAAATCCCTTAATCCGATGGGTTTACGGGATTTGGCCGGAGAAGTGCGCGAACGGGAGGAAGTTACCTTCTCTGCGGATGAGCTCCCGTGGCTACCTCCGATGAAAATGTCGTAACTTCCAGTCGTGACAGGAAGGGGAGTCGGAGAAGGGGGCAAAGCCGAACAGCAACGACTTTAAGCCAACTCCACTTCTTGCTTCCGGTCAAAATGTCGTAACTTCCTCTCCGACAGGAGGAGAAAGTCGTTGAATGAGCGAGGTCGAACAGCCTAAGGAGCCGAAGGAGCGGCGTCTGCAATCTCTACACCTCCTGTGAAGCACCGAAGCCGGACAGCAACAAGAGAGGGGGAGTTCGCGCGTGGAGAGAGGGCTCGGGAGGAGAGGAGGAATCGCGTAAGAGGCCGAAGGCCTCGTTGCTTTCGGGCTTTTAACGACTCGAGCGAGTCGTGCGAGCGACGTGGGAGCGACGTGCGTGAGGCGACGTCGACATGGTCTCGACGTGCGAGATCGTGCGGCGTGCTGCGGTAGGTAAGGGATTTTGATTTTTTTTTTCTTTTTTTGTTTCTGCACAGCAAGAGGGTCAACAAGTTCAAACGGCTGACCGAGAATGAGATGCAGGAGAAGAGGTCAAAGGGGTTATGTTTTCATTGTGATGAGAAGTACATGCCCGGACACCAGTGCAAGGACCGAACTCTTCAGGTTCTCTTCATGTGCGAAGACAAGGAGGGAGGTCAGAGCGGGTCAGAAGGGAAGGAGAAGCTGCATCTGGATGTGACATAAGTCTCTTTGAACTCAGTAGTGGGATTCACCCCGAGTCACACTATGAAAGTAAGAGGAGAGATAGCTGACCGTGAAGTGTTGGTGCTGATCGATAGTAGGGCAACCCACAATTTCATTTCCACCTAGATCGTTGACCAGTTGGGGATGAAACCAGTCGATACCGGAGGCTATGGGG